AGGGGAAAGGGGGGGGGGGTCGTGGGGAGAAGGAGGGAGCCGAAGTGTGTGCAGGAAGAGGAACACTGCCCTGTGTGCAGTCCAGCCCCGCATGGCCTTGCGGTCTGCGAGCTGTCACCCTCAGAACGCCCCCTGCCGGGCCTCTCACGGACGGAGGGGCGGGAAGACCCGTGCTCCCTCTCATCACTCGCACGTGTGCTTCTAAGCTTCGCACTCGGCAGCCCGGTGTCTCCCATCACTGGAAAAACACTTTCTTCTTTGTTGACAGGACGGCAGCAGGACGAGGGCTGCACGAGTCTCGGCTGCGTGACCGTGGGTAACTCACCTAACCTCTGTGAGCTTTGTTTGTCCCCATCTGCCACCTGTGGAGAGGAAGGCTGCCCTGGTGCAGAGCCGTGGGCCGGTGGCTTGGCTCTCGCACGCTGGTTGGCATCTGAGTTGTGAGTCCTGACCTGAAGCACAGCTCCCCCTCTGGGATCTCTGCTCCAACCATCCCAGCGGGCCCTCTCCCCCGGGCGCGGGACAGGGGCGCCCACAGCTCGCACTCTGCTCTGTCCTTGGTTGGCTGTGGAAAAGGCCAGACTTTGAGTCAGAGGGAGGAAGGGCGTGGCTCAGAAACCCCACGCGCTTTCTAGACCTCAGCCTCTTCCCGCGTGGTCAGGACTCTCCGCCCGAGCAGAGGGTTGTTAGGACTGTCATGGCGGCTCATGTCTTTCGCGTCCAAGCACCTGGTGTGAGTGAGCCCTCTGTGAACTGTGGCTCCGTGTGACAATGATGTGCCCTGTAGGTTTGTCAGGTGTGACCATTGGCCCACCCGGTTCCAAGTCCTCGTGGTAGGGGTCTGTGTGTGAGATAGAGGCTGTTGCCAGTGGGTCACTGGTGCGTGACCTGGGAGGCTACGTTCTTGTCCTCACTCTTCCCTTCTGCCCTGGCCACCTGGTCGCGTGAGTCGGGCAGCCTTCCCCTGCCAGGCCCTTCTGCCATGAAGGGAGCCAGCGGACCATGGACTGAATCCCCCCCACCATGAGCCAAAACAAACCTCTTTTTTGAAATTGCCGGTGTCGGTGTCAGGTGCCCGTCCCAGCAACGGGAACGTGACGCTGAATAATAAGTACTAAAGGGTTGAATTTGTTCCCTGCTTTCGGTTAAAAAATAACAGCTGTCTTTTTTTCTGGTACCGCTGGGAGGAGTGAACGTAATGTGTATTGAGCCTCACAGGAAACACATAATAAATAGCAGTGCTATATGTGTAAAGTCCCCACCCAACCCTCCTGCCTGTCCGGGATGGCACAGAGCAAGGACGGATAAGGAAACCTGGGTGGCTCTGTGTCGCGAACCGGCGACGCAGAGCACTGTCCCGCAGTGCCTCAAACCTGAAAGAGCAGCGGGGTGGAGATGGGGCAGAGAGAAAGGAAGGACGCCAAGACAAGAGTCTGATCAAGGCGACGTTTATTGCCGGCAAGCACCGGCCTTTTAAAGGGAAAGGCCGAACTATTATGGGCTAGGATCACCATAGTAACCTCAACACCCGCTCCACGGGAACGAGAGTTCACACGGGCCTCAACACCTGGTCCACGCGGCCCGGGACGCTCGCACTCTGCACAGCGGTCCCAGCGGTCCCAGCGCGCCTCGCCCGCCTCCCACGCCCCTCGCCCGGCCCTCGGGGCTGTCCGAGTTTCTCCCGTGCAGGGTCAAAACAAGTTTAACACGTGCAGTCCTTAAAAAGGAACAAATGTTGTCTTTCAAAAAGCCAGTGGGCCATGGCTGGCTTCCCACAGCTCTGTGAGCTGTGTTCGGTTAGAGCAGTAACGACAACGGTCTTCACATGAAGTTCCCTAATAGGCTGTGTTCCCAGAATGTGAGCCAGCTTGTGCTGGCACACCTGTGCCCCCTAGTCATCGCTTTTCCCCCCCGGAATATTCCCGGTCCAGAAACCTGCTGTTTATCAGCTGCAGAAAGGGTTTGGGATGATAGAGCGGAGATTTTTGTCTTGCTAAGGCCCACACTCCTCCGGGAGCCAGGAGCGGCCAATTAGAGCCTGGCTGGCTTGCTGGAGAGATACAGCACTGATCTGTCTCCTGGGCCGCCAGCTCCCAGGGAGGCCTGGGTCAGGCAGTCTCCACGCAGGGGAGGCGGAGGGACGGGTGGGTGGTGAGCACGGAGGGGCGAGGGTTGATTGTGGGTGTGACTGTGGTCGGAGGCCAGGAGCGCAGGGCAGGGGAAAGTCCTAAATTCAAAGACAGCGGGAGTCCAGAGCTTTGGAGCAGTTTTCCTCCAAAGGGGCTGAAGGGCTGGTGCCCCGTTTGTGAGGCCCCTGTCCGCTTTGTGCCTTATTGACGCATGATTTTGGGGAGGCTCTAAGGACCAAAAGGCAAGGGAAAAGGCCACTTTCTAAGTTGATGTGGTTACAAGTCCCAGCGCTCCCCGCTTCTGTGGGTGGGAGGGAGGCGGGAGTTGAGCGCCCAACCCCTCCCTTCAGCCTCCATTGGCCTTCACGTGTCCCCCATTCATTCATTCCTCAAAAAGCGGCACCAAAGTAGGCGGAGTCCTGGGCACCAGGGAGGGGCGTGGCCTGTTACCTTGTATTTCGGAACCGCAGAGGGCAGACCAGGTAAACCTTGTGGTGGGGCCGGGAGAGCTCCCGACTCAGGAGGAGTCAGGGGAGGCTTCCCGGGGGAGGTGACCCCAGGCCGAGACCCGAGGGCGAGTAGAAGCTGGCAGATGAGGGTGAGCGCGATGTAGGTGTAGGCCAGAATGTTCCGGGGCCAGGGCGCTGTGCGCAAAGGCCCAGCCGAGGGAGCGCGTGTGGCACTTCGGTGAGGCTGGCGTCCGGCAGAGGGACACACTGGACGTGTCGGCGGGGCCCCGGAGGGAGGGGCCGTCGCTGCACCCCGGGAGCTGGGATTTGAGTGTGAGGGCAGCAGGGAGCCACTGACGACTCAAGCAGGGAGGGTGAAGTGCGAGAACCAGCTTGAGCTTCCCGAGCCTTTTGGCTGCGGAGCGCCCACAGAAAGGCGGGGCTCGGGGGCGGGCGGCGGTGGCCTTCCTCCCTGTTCCCCAGTGCAGCCCCACTTTCACCGCCCCGTCCTGCGCCCGGGCCACGGTGGCAGCGAGACTGAGACGGAGACTGCCCGCTCCTGCCTCACCAGGGCGCTCCTGCAGCAGAGCCGCGCTCGCCTTGGTTACTCTGTCTCGGAGGCCCCAGAGTTTTCTTTGCGCCTCCAGGCCGGCTGGTGGGTGGACTCCGGGGTAGATTATTGCCTCAGATCCACCAGGAACTGGAGCGGGCGCTGAAGGGAAGGCTGGGAAGGGCCGGACCGGCGTGCCCAACCCACCCGTGGCCCTGGGTCTCATTTAGCTGAGAGGAGCGGAGAGACTCTGCTTCTCAGGGATGCTCGCGATCCGAACCCCTGGGTGCTGCTGTGGGAATGAAAAACCACACAGCTACCAGGGGAAACTGAAAGCTGTTCTTCAGGGAACTGCAGCATAATTACCACAAGTACTAGCAATTTTGTTCCTGGGTATACACCCTGAACCAAAGGCAGAGTCTTGAAAAAGTGTCCATACACGAAAGTTCACAGAAACCTTATTTGTAGGGGTCAGGAGGTGGGAGCAACCCAGATGCTGACAGATGATGATGAAGAACAAGATGTGGAATATTATGCAGCCTTGAAAAGGAAGGGCCTTCTGAGAGGTGGGACCACGTGGATGAACCTGAGGACCTTGTGCTATGTGAGATCAAAAGGACAAGCTTCCCGTCCTGATATACAAGACCAGGCAAATTTAGAGACACAGTAGCGGGAGGACAGCTCCCTGGAGCTGGAATGGGGAGTTGTTTAAGGGGTTTTAGTTTTGCAAGTTGAAAGGTGTTCTGGAGACTGACTTACACTTTTACACCGGAACACTTAGAGGTGGCTCAGATGATACATGTTGCTATGTGGTTCTTTTAAGCCACAATTAAAAATAACAATAAAAGAAAATAAATCAGATGATGATAATAATAGTAAAACAGCAAAGCAGAGGCTGGGGTGGGAGAAGGAAATCCAAAGCACTCCCTTCCTAGGGGGAGCAGGAAGCAAGAAAAGGCCAAGCAGAAGGGAGGGGCGGGTGTTAGAGTGGAAATTGTGTTGTGCCTGGGAGAAGCAGAGAGGAAATGCTCGCCTGCTGCCTGTCTCTCCCCTTGGTGGTTCCGAAAGTGCCCTGCACTTGTCCCTTGTTTTCTCTCCCTACGGCCAGTGGGCGGGGAACCCTGGGAGCCCAGTCCAGGAGCCTGGGTTTAGGGGCTGAAGAGCAGGAGGTACCGGGGAGGGGTCTCCTTTGTTTAAGAAAGGTTTTCTATCTAGCAGATAGCACTGCTACGCGGGTTAGGCCGTCTTGTGGGCAACGAGCTGTCTGTCACTTGAAGTCTTCAAGCTGGGATGCGATGACGGGCGGGTGGGAAGGAGAGCATCGGCGCTTGGTGCTGGGTAGGAGTGGGGCTGAGCTCTTCCAGGTCTTAGAGTTTATTATTTTGCACTTTTTAAATTCTGTGTTACCAAATCCTGAGGACAGGACTGGGAGTTTTGCTTATCGCTGACCCCAAGTGAAGTAAGCAAGTTAACCAGAACCCACCCCCAATAGCCTGAGCCTGAACTTTACCCCTTTTCCTCCCTGGACTGCTTGTTCAGAGTGGTAATTAACCAGCACACAGCTCACCTTGTGGTTAAGAAGAAAGGACAGGTCATGTTACACTGCAGCCTTAACCAGAAGGATAGGAATTTCCTGCCGGATCCCCAAAATTGGATTTTAATCTAACTTGCAATCTGCTTTTGTACCCCTGTGCTTGCTCAAAGATGAGATCACGACATTCTATTGTGTGGTTTACCCCTTTAAAAACTGGGGCTTCAGCTGGGCGTGGTGGCACATGCCTGTAATCCCAGCACTTGAGAGGCCGAGGCAGGAGGATCGCTGTGAGTTCGAGAGCAGCCTGGGCTACACAGTGAGTTCCAGGTCAGTCTCACCACACAGTGAGACCCTGGGCTTCCTTGCTCAATCAGTACCAAGGAAGACGGGAGCGCAAGCTCTCCTTGGTCGCCAGCTATTAGACTCCTTTACTTTGGACATCTGTGTGGCTGATTTTTCGTGGAGACAGCTATAACACAGCTTGGAATCAGGGTGCACGGCTGTGGCTGAGAATGAATTGGGGGGGCTTTGTTCCTTTCCTTCTGTGCGGCCCTCAACCACTCTCTGGATGCTGAAGAAGACAGGAGGAGGGGCCCGAGAGGTAGGGCAGCTTGGTGATTTATAAAGGAGCTTTTGATTTATTGGGCTCTTCCGGTCACTCTTAACCTTGCCCGTGGATGTAAGTCTTCTGGGAGCTGTAAGAAGTGTCTGTCTGTCTCTCTCCTCCAGAGACGTTGCTCTGATTGGCCTGTGGTGCTGGGCATCGGGATGGTCTAAAGCTCCCCGGAGATTCCAGCGCATGGCCAGGGTTGTGATCACTGCTGAATGTGCCAGATGCTGTGCAGAGCTCCTCATGTAATCCCCACAGCAAGTTTAGGAGTTGGGTCCCTGGCTGTCAGAGATTGGGCCTTGAACCCAAAGTTCCCTGGGGAACTTGTGTTAGAAATGCAAATTTCCAAGCCTCCCTCTGCACTTAGAGAAGAGCCCCTCTGGGGCTGTGCTTGGCGTCTTAACCTCCCTTGCTTTCGTTCTGAGGCAAACGCTAGACTGAGAACCCGAAGGGAGGTGCCGGGAGCCCCTGTTCATGAGAGGTGGGGAGATCTAGTCATTAGCTCAAGGGAACAGCAGAGCCAGGGATTCAAATCCAGGAGCCGTGCCTCTGTCCAGACCTCCATCCTTCCTTCCAACCTGTGGTCCGCTGGTCAAAGCAGAGAGGCATTGCACTACTTGTGGGTGTCCCTGGGGTCCCTCGCTAGCCCTTGGGCAATGCTTTCTCCTCCTCTCTGCATGGTAGCAAAGTTTAACTCCATTTGGAGCCCAGGTGAGAGCACAGGCCAGATCACCCCAGGGATCGTTCTAAAATGGTTATATTAGGAGCTTAAAATAGCTTCTGGCAGATGGCGTGTAGAATGGCGGACTGGAGCAGAGCTGCCTGTGACATTTACAAAGTTGTGTGTTTGTGCAAGCGCATGTTTGTGTGTGTGCCCGTGGCTCGTGCACCCACACGTGGGCTGGGGGCATGGCAGAGAGTTGAGGAACTGAGGAGGAGCAAAAAGGAGAATTAGGATGAGTGAGTCCGATCTGCCCAAGACTAAAGGGGAGAGGGGCTTCGAGGTGAGTTCGCTGTACTCCTGGGTGCGCGCTGGCTGGTTGGGTGGTGACTGGCAGAGGGAGCTCTCACATGGCTCTGGGCGCGGGGGACCCATGGAGCTGGTGTGGCCGAGTGTGGCAGAGTCCCGGGAAGCTGTAGGTTTTGCTGGGCTGTGACTGGAACCTGTGACTGAAGGTTAAGGGCTGACACCGGAGCCCTTGCTTCGTAATGAAGACGCTGGGTTCAGTTCCCTTACTTTAAAGGAAGTGTCTGTACAGGTACCTGCGAATCCCCTTTGAGTGCGGAGATGGTAGATGTTCATCAGTCTAATTCTCCCCGACAGGCCCTCAGATGGTTGTGGGTGGCTCTGTTTCCCTTGGCAACTCTCAACTGGAGCCCTGCATTCTGCAGCTTTAATTCTCAGACCTTCTAATGTACTAGTTCTTGACCTTTTTGAGTTTTGGATCCGTTTCTGAATCTTATTAAATCCAAGGTGCCCTCTCTCCAGAAACTTTGACATAAACCTACACACAGAGATCAGTCAGCGACTCACACGAGCCCAGAACTCTCTGCCTGTGGCCCCCTGGCTCTAATGGAGACCCTGGGCAGGATGGCCGTCCACTGACTCCCTTTAGCTCTTCTTCCGGTCCTGCCCCAATCTGGTTCCGGTCCCCGCTCCACCCCTCCCTGTAAAGAGAGTGGAGAGGATGATGCCTGGGCTTAGAAAGCCCGGGGCCTGAGCCTCTCTGAGGCTGGCTTCAGGGGCGACGTTGGGATTTCACCAAACACGTGGCCTTTGAGCTCTGGAACAGCGAGGTGTGTATTCGTTAGCCGTGGATCCTCTGCTTTGGTTGATTCGCCCCCAGGTACCCCAGGATCACCTGTTGGCTCTTTTTTTTTCTTTTGAAAGTGCCTCACTATGTAGTTCAGACTGACCTGGAACTCACTGTGTAGCCCAGGCTGGTCTCAAACTCACAGCGATCCTCCTGCCTCAGCCTCCCGAGTGCTGGGATTACAGGGGTGCCCCACCTCACCCGGCTTTGTTCCCTTTTTTTTGGTATGGGAGATTGAACTCTGGACCTTGTGCTTGTGAGGCAGGCAATTAAACCACTGAGCCAAACCCCCGGCCCGGCTCTTGTTCCTGTGCCCGCCGCGTGCCCAGCTCCTGTCATCCTCATCAGTATAAGCAAAACTGTGTCCTTCTCGTCCTCTGCACTTACTGCTGACTGCCTGATTCTGTCCGCTCT